TTTAATTACCACGCACAACAGGATGGTTGCTATTATGTTTACCTTGAGTCTTCCTGTGTGTGTGTGTTTGTGTATGTCTGTGTGATACTATAAAATGCAGTCCTGGTGTAATCTACTGTATTAGAAACTACCACCAAGGCAGTTCCTTGCACATGTCAATGTACAGACAGATTATGCTACTGGGATAGTGATACAACTGTACAGCATACAGTAAAGCCACAACTGCACAATCTGCAACCTCCTAGATTAAGTGTACTTATTCAATGCATAAACATTATATTTTAGAAGATACATTTGGTCCAAATGTCTGCAAAGTCATGTGCAACAAACAGGGTAGATGATGCTGAGGTGGGAAGCTAAGTAGTCCACATGTTTATTGACTGCAAACCCGAGTCCTATATATCATTTACATCTAGTTATCATGCTGATGTTTGAAAACACATTCCAGCAAAGATATTTAGTCGTAGACAGCGATCAGAGTCTTCAGAAAGTTACTGAACTGTAAAGAGGCATGAAACTACAACAAAATTTATCTATGTTTCTACAAACCCAATCCAAAAAGTGACTGAGCTGTAAAGGCAAGTTTCCTTTTTACGTGCTGCCAGTTTCATGGCAGACAGCCAGGCTGTATGATTCGTTATCAGAGATCTTTTTATCTGGAATTAAACTTGTTTCGACGACTAAAATTAAGGTTTAATTTTTCGCCCTTTATGTCAGTATCGTTTTGATTTAAACTTTTAGCTATTAAATTCAGGCTTGTTATAGCTTGTTTGCTATATAATATTCACTGGTTTACACACCCGTCCGATCAGACAAAGGCTCATCGTTCCTGACAAGAAGTTTGCCGCTTTCCCAGATCAGATCAATTTGGCAAGTGTGGTTACTGACATAAAGAAATGGAGAAATGGTGGCTTAAACAATTAAAAGAAGTTCAAATAAAGCAAATTTATTCTTTAAAATCCTTACATGGTGTGGTTAAGATTCAGGGTTTCACACATACAAAGCTTCATGTTTGTGAACATTTCAGGCCTGATTAATGACAGAAGGTGGCACTATTATGTATTCTCTGTCACAATGTGAAACTATTAAGATAGAAGCCCTGTATGCATACAGTTTAGTGTGAGACCATTAAGGAGGTGAGAAAAAAAAGTGCGCAACTGTTTTCGTGTCATGAGAAATGAGAAGTTGTCTGCAAGTGTGCATGTTTGCACGATAATTATAACCACATCCAACAAATACACACACACACACTCACACAGCGATCGGTCTCCCTGCCAGACAGCCTATGGGATGAAGAGTTTCACCCCTGCTGTTGCCGGGTTACTAGCTCCGGACCACTGCCAACGCAGCCACACACACGATCAAATCGGCTGCGGAAAAGAGTTTTAAGATCTTTGCTCAAATCAATTTTTTGCTTATAGAGAAGGGAGAAGGCGGGCAGGAGAAAAACAACTTGAAAAGGAAGGAAAATGACATGGTCGGGGGTGTTTGAGTGAGACTGAAGGGGAGACAGAGCAATTCAGCTTGCATCCCCTGGGGAAAAAAAACAAGACCAATCAGTCCAAAACTGGCCCTGATCTGCAGCTCACATCATCACTCAACCTTTCGGTGGCCTGGTCTGATGCTTACTTGGACAAATATGCAGCGCGCGGACACACACACACACACAAAATCAGTCTGCGACATACACAAAAACACGATGAGATACAGTGAGATACATGTGAAAACACAAACACATGTGGTAACCAAAACAAACAACAGACAAGTGATGCTTGGATTCAGCTACATGGCAGATGAAATGCTTTGACACGAGCAGGCTGACGATGACAACAAATCTGCCACAAATACCGAAACACAGGTGGTGGCATTTCAACATGTGTTAAAATGCTGCATGTGAACACACACACACACAGAAACACACACACACACTTGCAGATTATACAATAGCTTAAGGAATAAATCCAGGTTTTTACAACTTGGGTCGTACGTTACTGGAGGAACAATAGAGGTTTGGAAACATGGCAAGATCACTGCAACAGAATCTGACAGACACATGGACAGTTGGAAGACAAGACAGCTTTGTAACCACATTTAAAAAACCAACGTTGAAAAGACTGCAAGGGTTGCTAACAGCTCTGTTTGACTGTCCCTCATTTCACAAACATTTTGGTCAAATATAATAGTCCATTGGTGACAATATTTTTAAATTCAAAATAGTCTATGTATGTGTACAGCATTTCACCCGTCTTCAGTCAGTTAACACTGATGTTTGAATTGGGTATTTAAAATAGCTTTATATCGTTTTATGCTGTTGCTCTTGTAATCACAATGAACTGGAGAGATCGGCCTTTTTTGCAATGCATCATCTCTAACCAGGATGTCCTAGCCTTCCTGTGGTTTCCTAATTGATCTAATGTAAGCTGATTTTGGGGCAGCCCTCAGTATCATTCAGCTGCCTCTCCAGTGACTCTCTCATCCAGCAGTTGGTAAGACAGTTTTGGACTACAGCTGCCAGTGATGGTCCTGATTCTGCTGCAAGCTGGAGGGCCATTCTAACCAGAACCTGCAGCAGGTGGAGACTAGTTTCATGGGCTGCTACACCATGCTCACAAAGGCTTCAGAGCAGAACAAGAATCACCACCGTGTGCATCAGTGAATGATCGAAGAGCTGGAGTCTATCCAGAGGAAAGAAAATGACTGAAGGAACTGATGATTGTGTGAATCTATTAATAAAATGTAATGGTTAATAATTAATCTAAGACAGTGTGCATGTGCCCAACACAAACAGAATCTGTGATACATTGTATATCAGTTGGAATTCAGTGAAACTCAATCTTTGAAGTGACAGCACCGAATGGTAAAAATTAGATACGCAATGAGTAGATAGACCATGACATGACCAGCCTACCAGTCTCACATGTAAACAGCACATGCTGCTGCTGCCTGTGCACCTCTCAGACATGAAACTACACTAATCTAATAAACACACAAATCTATGAAAAAACAGCTTTTACAATATTTCTTACATGATCTATGCTATGTGAGGCTGTTATGTATTCTTTGCTTCCTTATAATACTAACAAGTTGCGTGTACTCTGACATCTGCTGTTTACACCTTTTCTGGACCACTCGTTTGATTTGTTTGATTTGATGATGAGTGTAACTTTAAATTCAGATGAAAGAAGAGCTGGAAATATGTATGTAGATATACTGTCAATCAAAATGCGTCACAATGCAAAAAAGAGAAAACTAACTCAACGACCACTTCATGACACAACTGTGTTTTCATCCAGTAAGAAATGACTCCAATCCAAAGTGTATTCATCTGACAAGAACATTTTTTGATCGACCCGATTACTCTCCTTTTTTTATATATTTCATAGACAATAACATACAAATATGTGAGATGAGTCATGTTTGCCAATTTGAATTCAAAAATGGAACTAACTCTTTAGAGATTCCTGAAATATCTCAACAACACTGGTTTGCTTTCAGTAACTAAGACATTCAATACTTCAATACTCGGACATATTAAAGGCTGGCTTCATGACTCAAATGTGTAACAATTACAGAGACAAAGAAAATGGAGCTAATGAAATCCTTTTATGCAATTTCAGGAAGTCACTCTGTTAGTGTGGCCACTCTAAAGGCTTCTATAAAACCTGCCTGATCATGTGATTACTCATGTTTTTTGCTCTGTTCTGACCACTTTGCAGAAGGTGACTGTAAGTGCAACATTATCATCACCAATAAAGGCAACCCTATTAAAATAAACCAAAACTACCCTGCTTTGCATCGTACATGCCTCTGTGGATATTTTAGGCTCAAGCTTGGAGCTTGTGCAATCCTTTGCTAGAGATCAGCAGTAACTGTAACAAACCAAAAATGGTTGCGAACAACCACCAAAGCCCGCTAACCCCTCTGTTGCGACCTAAACCATGGCAGCCCAGCTGTGCAAAGCGGCCTCCAGCTTTTCAGGAATCTCTGCTGTCAAGGACATGACAGAACGCCTGTCTCGCTGCTCTTAAGGAAATAAACTGACTTCACTGAGCAACTACAGAAGCCTACTGTTGTCAGCGTTCATTTTGCATAAATTCATGTTGCTACTTGACTGTTTCGCTGAGCTGCACAATGCATATCTGCTGCGCTCACCTCTGGCCGAGAGCTTTTTTGTGTTGATAATTTTCGCGGCATACTCCTGGCCGGTGGACTTCTTGATACATCGACGAACGATGGAGAAGGCACCCCTGAAGCAAGACAGATCCACACATGAGAGATCAGTGTGAAACCACTTCAAACATAACAAACATGAGTGTGTCACAGGGGAAAGTGCACTGAACTTGTCTGTCTGTCTCACTCTCACACACACACACACACACACACACAGTAAGGGCATGCATGAATCACATAGTCTTAAAGAAAGGGGAAAGGAAGTCACATGCATTATTAACACGGCCTGATATTCTGTGTATGACAAGAGGTCCCGGCTACTAGTGTGTGACGGGGCTCAATGTGAAAGGAGCCAGTCATAGCTGCCAGGAAGAAACATGAGTAAGGCTGCAGGAGAATGAAGCCACTGAAAAGTGTTATTAGCATTTTTTTTTTATTTTTTTTTTTTGCTCAAACTGACTTCATTAATTTAGTTTATTTACTTTTTTTGCACAGATACCTCCTTAAACCTATTAGCCACATGCAGAGATTAGATGTGATCTAATCTCTGCCAGAATATATATACAGCCAGACACACATACATACACACACACACATACATACACACACACACATATATACACACACACATATACATACATACATATATATATATATATATATATATATATATATAGACGTTTTGCAAGCGCAAATGTTATTGCAGCAAAGCCCGTTTCTCGTTCTTCTGCTGGTTTCTTTTTAATTAATTTTTTATTTTTTTGGCATACACAAGAGCCCTGCAGTCTGTTTAGAAATGCACGAAAACAGAGCTGAGCAGGACCCCGGAGATGCCACCAGGCAACCAGCACATACAAACGACTTTTCGACGCGTGCTACCTGCAGATCAACTGACTCGCAAGTTGCTCCTACGGGGGGAGGGATGTTTCCCACCTTCTGGGCTTACAAAGAGAGCCACAACGCTGCCACGCACAATTAAACGCACATGCAGGATTAAGTACAAGCCTCTGCAGCGCTAACATGAACCTGCCGACAGCTCTTTGTTGCTCAGGAGGGTGCCTACCCCTTTCCTGTTTTTTTTCTCTCTCTCCTTTTTGACAGCCCCTCTCGTGCGCTGTCAACACAACGGCAGCAGCGGAGAGGGGGGGCGTGCAAACACACGCACACACGCACACACACACACACACATATACAAACAAGCATACACTAAATGCAACAAGAAGAGCAGCAGCAGCAACGGCGGCGGTGGCGTTGACGGTCGCTTACTTTCCGAGTTCCTCGTACAGCTGATATTCGTCTGTGAATCTGGTCGAGGTTACAACTGTAGCCATGTTGACTGGAGTCAAGGGGAGAGGGGGGGACGTAGCCTCGCGCTTCAGTGGCCGCCTCGCGCAGGTTTCGGGAGGAGAACTAGTGAATGCTCAAAAGGGAAGAGTGGCTCGAGCTCACAGAGAGGAGCTGGGAGTAGGAGGAGGGAGGAGAGAGAGAGGGGTAGCTGTAGTAACGGAGATCTGCTATTGAGACGAAGAGTCACGCTGTGTCGAAAAAAAAAGAACGACGAGGGAGTGTAAAATTGAGATAAGCTTTATTACTGTGCGCAAATACATGTGCGTGAGAGATTAGTCATTTTTAAAAATATATATTTTATTGAGATACGTTCAGCAAGTATGCAATTAATCCTTGTGAACCAAAGCTCCTGGCTGCAGATTGATTCAATTATTCAGTTTTTATTTTATTTTTCCCTGCTCTTGGCTCTATGTCATGTCAATGATGACAGAGTATTTGGGGCCACATCAAAAAAAAAAAAAAACTAAATAGCGTTATTTTGAAATTAAACTCGAAATATTCTTTTAAGAAAAAGGGTAAACTGAAACTACTGCCACAGCTGCTACAGGCTACCCTCTACAAAATGTCACGTAGATGAGTTAGAAAAGCACCTGGCGAGGTACACAGCTGTAGCCCTGAGCCCCACTCATCTCTCGTTCAAACCTTGTGTTTTGTGTATCTCTCGTGTTTGCAACCGGTAGCCAATCAGAAACAAGAAAAAAAATGATTTAAAGGGAGAACAGTTAAAACTTTTCAGACATAAGATAACCTGAGGCAGCAGAGGCCATGTAAAAGATAAATTATTTGGACAGATATTTTGCAGTGGCTTCGGCAAAAAAGTTATTCTCCCAACTTGGAAGTTTACCTTTTCTACTTCTGCACACTTGATCGGGAGCCACAGGGGTGGCTAATCGAAAGGTCAGTGATCCGATTCCCTGGCTCTTCTAACCTGTATGTCAGTCTCAGTATCCTTGGGCAAAATACTGAACGTAGAGCTGCCCCTGATGCACTGGAGTGTGAGTATGTGAATGTTTGGTTAAAGGTGCTTAGGCACAGTAAACAAAGGGTTGTATGAATGTGTGAATGAGGCTTGTAGGAACAAAGTGTTTGCTCAAATTGAGTAGAAAATTGCCATTAATACCAGTGTGTTTAGCATTTATTCATTATACAAACGGAGGAATTATTTATGTGTAAACAAGATACTCAGGGTATGCCGTGGCAACTGCATTGTCTTTAATTCTCCATGTATTTTTTGTGTGTGGGGACCCTCTTGTATGTTTTTTTTGTGTGAGGTATTCTGTGGCAAATTAAAAATCAACAAATAAAACATAAAATAACATTATTTAGAGATTTTAATAATGAAAAGCCATTCTGGTAGAGTTCATAAATGCTCAATAGCTCCCATTTATAACAAAACCAGCATATATATATATTCAGGAGATCACTTCACATAAACAGCCTGTGAAAGTTATGTCTTAACATTTTATCAGGTGAAGAACGATAAATCATAACTTAATGTTTTATGAACATAATTAATTTTGAGAGCATCTTTCCACCAGCTTTTACAGTGTATTATTAAATGCAAACACAAAAGTGTTGAAGTGCTGCAGCCAGTAGCCCACATGCCCATTGGCAGACATGACATGAGCGGATTTGGGCCTGCAGTGAACAGTTGACATGACCTATTATTGCAGTGTATCTTCCTTACAATAAAAAGCAGCTTGAGGCCACTGTTGTTGTGGTGTTATATAAATAAAACTGTCTTGAAAAAATTGGGTTGAGCTGACCAGAGATAGAATAAGAAAGAATCCACAAATCAAAAACACTTGACTGACACACTTCATCCTCTTGCTGTGGTAATAGTATGCCAAACTTATATTAAGCTTCTACAAAAAAGAAATACAATATCTACTAGCGTCTATGCAATCAATGCTTAATTTTATATTATTATAGGCTAGCAAACTCAGCGATTATGTGTGTGTATGCTTTTGCCTAATGTCGGAATATAAAGATAGTAATTTAAAAAAAAAAAAAGAAAAGAATTACATAATATATATTATATGTATTATAATATAGTTACATTTTGACATCCCTATAGATCACACTGGAATAATTTACAAAATTATGTTTCTACTGGTGCATAAAAGCTGTGGTCTAGACTGAATTAATGTTTCCTCTTCTGGCCGTTTCGTTTTGTTTTGAGGTTTTTCACAAAGCAGAGAAAAAAGAAAAAGTAGCGGAGTGAGACCTCTTTCCACTCTCTCCCTCCGGCAGTAGTGGTGGAGGTGGGATGCAAGCCACGCGAGATCTTTTCTGGTGTACTAGGAGCTGCAGATCGCGGTTCAGTTTCACAAGCTCTCCGGTCCATTTGGAGTTTGCGTACACGAGGTTTAAAGCTGACACCAGAACAGCTCGTGCGCGCAGCTTCCATCACGGCACGCGCTGAGATGCGATGCCGCAATATTTTAATATTGGCACAAAGCAATGAGCTGCATGCCCACTAAATTATGGCATTCGGTTTGTAACTGGGCCTCGCCGAAAAAGAGAATCAGCCACTTCAAAATGTGGCACCTGGTGACAATAATGATTCCCTGCGTACACTATGATTTTATTATACTAATGCACTCCTCCTTCAAGACATTTTTCTTTTCATTTAGCACATGTGCTTGCAACATCTTCCTCGATGATACATTCGTCTTGAAGCAGAAACAGTGCCGTTTTCCCGAAGAGAATTTGAAATGTTTTCCCGTTGCGGATATATCTGAGAAGCACTCAGACTGATCTGAGACTGGAGCTAGAGCTTTAAATACATCATTGATCCTATTACCCGCACAACTGTGGTCTTTTTTTTTTTTATTGCTGACAAAGCTCGTTCAAAAGTGTTATTATTACCAAAATGCTCAGTGTTTCTTCCTTTTTATTTTAATTTCATTTTTACACGTGGATAAGGAGGGATTAAGCAGGAAGTGACACAGATGCTGCAGCAACAGCCTTAATTGAAATACATTATAGACTTTGCCCTATTAACTGATCTTCATGATATACTTTTAGCATTTTATTGCGTTATTTCTTCATAAGGTATTTATAGTGATCACTTTTTATGCTCCCTAACACTGAACAAGCAAACATTGGACTGGCAGCTGTCACCTGGATTTAATCATTATCACAACACTTTTACTATAAACTAACATCAATATAAAAGAAAGAGAGAGAAGTCATAAAATGTACTCATGTCAACTCATATGCAGTTTTACGGATTTTGGCTGTAAGAGGCAGAATTGTATCTAAGATGGGGAAATATACGAGTTACTGTATGTAATGGTCTGCTATGCTGTAAAGGTTTAATTGCTTTCATAAATATCTCATGAAGGGTACTAATATATTCTCCACGCACGTTTAAACGTGTATGTGTGCGTTGCAGCGGCTCAACACTGTTGTGGGGTGATGTGATAAGCTCACGAGCTTAGTAACATTTCATGATGTGGATTTTTTTATAGTCGTGTGTGATTTTTCTTTTTTATACTCTCGATGTTTAAAGTGCAATATTTACAGTGGTGGCATGAAATCAGTTTAGTAGCTGTTGTGCATCTATGTGTCATAGCACATCAGCTTCATCAGGAGATGGAAATCTCAATCTCCTCAGATTTCAAAAGCTTCTTTAAAAAAATAGTATTTAATAACTCAGTGTGTGTCACTTAAGCCTGAAAAATATCCACCAAATATGCACCAATCCCCACAGGCAACATTAGCTTCACAAAAAGTAAATTACAGGGTTAAAAATACTCTTATAAACAATGAATCGGTAAACACTGACGTTAAAAAGTTCTCAACTGCAACTTTTCCTTACTGAACCCAGCACAAGTAAAGCACAAAGATGCTTTGCCATGCACCACAAGCTCCACTTTAATAATAGAAAATGCCTGCTTGTACTGCGGTGCAAACGATTATTGTAGTGGTGGTGAGTTTGGTGTCGAATTTATTGCTTTTGTTTTCTTGTGGATCGTGCTGCAGTCTGGTTCTGCTAGATGAGCTACTGCAATTCAAAAGGTGGCCTATAGGACCAAAAACAGCAGTTTCACATGTTTTCCACTTTGCCAAAGGGACTTAGCATGCTTGCAAAATCGTACATTTTCCGTTGTGGTTCTTTGCTTGCGTCTGAGTCCCAACATTGCATATCCACTAGTCATCCTGTTAAATTCCTGCTCATCATCACCCAATGCTGTCTTCCTCCACAGCTTCTCTCCTTTCAGTCATTAATCTAGGTACTAAAATTAGTGGCCTGTTCATCCTCTTTTCTTTGCCAAATATTCATTGTTTCTATTCAGGCATTGTGTGCCAGCATGTCTGTTGTGTAAACTTGTCACCCTTTTCACCTTCCTCCTTTGTCGGTGTGGATGAATCTAGGTTTGTTTCCTCTTGAAAGTCTTTTTGATTGATGACAGATGGACAATAATCCTGTCTTGTATGAAAACACATGCTTTATCCACCCATATGATACTCAAAGTCTTCAAAATATAATTTAAACTGCAACATCTGCAGTTCAATTCCAAAGTCAAAATACTTTGGAATAATTGAAAATGGAAAATAATTTAACCCTGGAGTTGTTGTGCATTTAAATCACACAGTACTGTGTATATCTCATGTTCAGTATGTGTACTATGGGTTCTTTCTGCCTCTGAACTGTGAGCGAATATCTGGCACAGAGTTTAGAGCTCACTGCCGGCAATTAATGAGTGTTTGCAGTGAGCATAAGAGCAGCGCGACCAGTTTCTGCCATAATTACAGGGAGCCGCTCTGATATGAAAGCCTAATTAGCGAGGGTGCAGAGGTACCATCCTATTAATTGCTGTGTTTCTCTGTGATGTGCTGTCAGATGAGTCTTGGACAGGCAGTCCTGTGGCAGGTTGGATGGTGGGTGGATACAGTGAGTATAGAGCAGCAGGTCCCAAACTATCAGGCTCGTGACCCCTTAAAATGAAGCTTTCAAATCCTTTTCACCCTGCAACTTCAGAGAAATCCAACTGTCCAACCAAGATGTCTTCCCCCTATAGGGTGACTGCTTCATTTCAGTAGAATAATTATAAGAGGATGGAAAATCAAAAACGGTCTAGTAATCAATCAGAAATTAAAAAAAATTCCACAAG